GGCCATGGTCAAGATGAGGTTTTTCCTGATGCAAGGATGCAAAGGATGTCACTAGTGGTTCTGGTCCTTCCAACAAGAGGAAGAGGTATGTCCTCACTGAGGAGGACCATGTGGTTATGGCCGGCATGATTGAGGCAGTGAGGGATGTTGCTTCTGCTATCCGTGAGACTAAGGTTGAGGTGCTGAACCTTGATCTGTATGGTGCAGTGATGTACATGCCAGGGTTCGCTGAGGAGGCTCTGATCTGTGCTTTCTCCCATCTGGTTGACAACAAGGCTCAGGGTGATGCTTTTGTCAACATGACTGACTCTCACCGTGTCCTTTGGCTCAGGACATGGCTTGCCAAGCATTACTACATGTAGATGTATCTACATGCTTGCTGACTGATCTGTCTTTTGTGGAGTGAAACTACCAACCTGCTGCTTCCTCCTCCTTTTGTGCAGTGACCTCTTTTGTGCAGGACAGAGCTGACTGGAGCTTGCAACACTCCATTTCTTTTGGTTTGAGACAACATGCTAGTCTCTTTAGCTAGTTACCTCATGGTTGGGTGGTATGTTTAGGTTGTAGGTCTGAGAGTGGCAAGTACCGTAGTTGTGGGTTAGGTGCCAGTAGCACATGCATTAGCTCTCTGATGATGTATTTGATCAGCCAGTTACATTGCCTATGATGTCATGGACACTTGATCATGGTTGCAGTTATGGCCATGGATTTATTTCATGAGAATTCATCCATTGCCTTATGTTGATTTCTATCTTCACTTGGCTGTGATATCCTGTTATTTATACTTGCTATATCTGAGCACAACTCTTTTGCCTATTATGAAGTTCTTTTGCATTCATGCATGATCTGAGCACTACTACATTGCCTATTATGAGGTCCTCTTTGATTCTTGCATAATCTGAGCACAACTCCATTTATTTCTTCTTTCCTTGCTAATTGTTTCTATTTTAATATACTCATATTGTATTACTGAATTTTACATCACCTAAGATTGACATTATGACTTGGTACGTTGTGTACTGTGGGCACCAAACTGGAGTGTTCTCCTCCTGGAGAGAATGCCATGCAAGTGTCAATGGCTTCAAGAGAGCCTGTTACAAAGGATACAAGCCTGAAGAAGAAGCTTTGGCTGCCTATCACAACCAAAAGGGTGCTCAAGGCCCTGTTGATCAAGTCCCTGTTGACTGCGAGGCATAAAAAAACTGGACAAAACAATCTTCTCAACCAAGGATACCATTATCATTGTCCAGTTCATTATTATCTTAATTTTATTGTAGAAGTTAATCTAATCATTAGTTGTAATATTGAGCCCGTAAGGCAGTATGAGGAGATGTGGAATGAATGGCTGGGTTGGCTGTGGTAACCTCACCGAATTCAATCTTGAGGTATTCAAACTCTAGTTGATGCAACCAACCAAACAACTGTACGTTCTTCTCTGCTTGTTAGTTCCTAGCTCATAGATGTAACCAAACATGTGCTCTGCTCATCCTGTTTGCATTCATTCGGATAACCAAACAATAACCACCTGCATGTATTGGGCCTGTCCCAGCTCAGCCTAGAGAACCAAACGCGCCCATAGAGACTACTTGTTCTTGTCAAGCCACTCGAGGATCCGTTTCTCTGACTCCGTGCGCTCCTCTTCTTTCTTCTCTCTGGCCGGGCCCTCGATGCGCCCGAAGTAGTCCTTGTAGTTCCTCTTGTAGTAGTCATCCAGCCTCTGGAACATGAGCATATACATGATCAGTGCCATACTCAATCCTTCAATGTATATCGTTTCACGCTTCTGTTGGTAAAATCACCAACTCCTGAATTATTACTGAGTGCATATTCTGAACCTCGAGTTGTTTTATAATTCGAACGGACTGCACAGGCACACGAAACTCCATCCCTTGCATTGCATGAGAATTTAAATTTAGCGGAGTGTAAAGTTAATAGACATTCTACTGTAGCTCTAGCTTCATCTGTCTGCTATTAGCGTCACTTCATTTTGTATCATGAGACATTTACTTCAGAGTTCAGAACCAATGAACTATGCAGCGTTCTTCGCTTGGAAACATAAAACAGTAGAGGCCTAAATTACTAGATAGAGCAAGCCTAACTTCCCAAGATCATCATTTGAACCATTTTACTTGGACATTCATGTTCCTAGACTAAAAGTTGATTCTGAAATTTCTGGTTTCATTCGCTTAATAAATATGTAATCAGCCTCTCTCAAAAGTATCCTTGTCTGTGGGATGGTTCACTTCACCCATTTATTTTCCCTCAATCGATCGGCAATGATAGGATACTATCAAACTACGAGAAAAGAGGCCACTTACCTCCTTGTCATTCTTCTCTTTGTTCTCCTCTGATTTCTTCAGATACTCTGTGCGCACACGAACGCACTAACTGCATTAGTTTATATGCAAAGACATACGTAGTGGATAGCAAGATGAACCGTGATATCAATTCCTCAGGCACAGAAAAAGTCTGATCAAATTCGCTCTCACCTTGCAGTAGAGCCTTCCTTGAATCACTGCCGCCTGGTACGACTGCAGTGGAAGTCAGCAGCGTCAGAAGGCACCTCCTGCTAACTCCATTCCTCTGAGCCGAGGTGACGGCTCGATGGAGATGCTTCGCGGCTGACCGATGAAACGATGATGAAGCTACTAGCCTCGTGATTGGATCCATCTGTTTCGCTTGGGGATGATGAGCCAATTGGATGGTGCTGCTGGACGCTAGTAGATTGCTAGCTAGCTGCTGCTGCCTTGATATGTGGAAGTCCTGAGAGGAACCAAGGCCACAGGTTCTTCTGGATGCTGACAGAGACAGACGGACAGACAGTCGGACAGACCGTCTTCAGCGCTTGATGGACATCTGCTGAAACTGTTTGCACTTTAAATAATTATTATTACTATTAAATTTATTTATGGGAAAATCCTATTCGGAATCGACCTACACCCGCGACATCGATGTCGATTCAGACTAGGCGGCTGCGGCTGTCTATGTACCCGTTGCCGCCGCCGCTCTTCTCCGTAGCGAGCTCCCCGCAACCAGAACCGCCGGACGGGAAGAGCTCCTCCTCATCCGCTAATTTGATCCGTTAGTATTCCAATGGTAAGCCAAATTTTGCTTCCATACTTTTCCCTAATTCATTCATGAGCCTTGACATCGGTTTGTTTCCAGTTGCGTGCATCCATAATTACTTAGGCTAGTTGCACATCTAGTTTATAGACAGTTAACTGTTTTCCAAGTGCAAAAGACAAAGGCTGGAGATTAGACTTCTGGGTGATGATCCAGTTAAATTCTTGTGCAACACCACAATTTTCTTTGATTTGTCGTCTAGATTGTGGAGAAACTCTTGTTACTTGGATGCATTCAGTGGGGTTCAACTGCAGAATACGGACCGAACAGCCTGTTCGCTTGGTCGTATTTGGCTTATAAGCCATGTCTTATCAATCAACGAACAGTATTTTTCTCTCACACTAAATCAGCCAATAGTACTTTCAGCCATGACTTATAAACTAAATCAGCCCAAACAAATAGGACGTTGGTTTTTCTTTTTAGAGAGGATTTGGTAGTCATACTAGATGTGTTGCTTTTAGCCGTTGCATAGGCAGTATTTTCTGTTTCATTCCCCACCTCTTCGTTACAGTTCTATCACTGTAGGATTTATATTGTTTTGCATACACTTCTATCTAAGTACAGTTATTAAGGCCATTTGTTGTAATCAGATTTATCTTAAATTCTTAATAGAAGGAGCCTTTCTAAGCAATGGTGAGAATTGGCGTTGTCAACTTAGATGACTGACAAGATAAGCACAAAGCCGAGCTTTGATGGCATACTGTGTGAGACCCGGCTCATGAGCCGAATTGCGGTTGGGCCGGGCTACCGTAGCTGTAGCGCTGAATTGGGCTAGCCTGAATTCGGGCACTGTGAAACCGAGTACTGTAGCTGCGGAAAACACTATGTAGCCAGCAGTTTAGTACTGAATTCTGAGTTCGCCGAACCAGCTTAAATAGCCAGGTCAAGGACGCGTGGTACCCTTCGGTTAACTGTTTTGCACGAAGCGAGGACGAAAACGCAAGCGGGTTGCTACGTAGGTGGGACCCACCCCTTGGTAGAGTAGGCCTGTGCCGTGTGCGGGCCTAGGGTGTTACAAACGGTATTCAGAGCTAACTCTCGCGGTTTCACGGACGTATGGCTCGGGAGCTCGGACAGGCTGCGCATGGCTCTGCAAGGGCATGACACTTGGGCCGGGGAGCTGGGAATACTGACGTGGGCCAAGAGAGTCGATGCTGAGCATTTGTCCCGTATGGGTAAGCTGGTTCGATAGCTTAACGAGGACGTCGAACCCTAAGGGGGTGATTGTAAACATCCTCGCCAAAATGGGCCGAGCTGGGCCGAATTGAATAGAGCTAGGCGTGGTACTGTAGGAGGCCGACTGTAGTCGCGAGCACTGCAGCGACGAGTTAGCCTAGGACACAAGCGGGTACTGTAGCTCAGATACTATACACGTGAATACTGTAGCATCGCGGAGCACTGTTTACCCCGAGGTTTAGTAACCATGCTGGGAACTGAGGTACGGCCAGACCGGCTTAAATTGTCAGGCCAAGTATGCGTAGTAAACTTTGGTTAACCGTTTTACACAAAGCGAGGACGAAAACGCAAGCAGGTTGCTACATAGGTGGGGCCCACCTCTTGGTAGAGTGGGCCTGTGCCGTGTGCCGGGCCTAGGGTGTTACGTACTGTATTAATGATATGTATAACGTATTGGTGTTTAGGGAAAGCCAATTCATCAGTGCTAATTCATAATCCTGTTGTTTGCAGAAGTGTCTGAGTCATCAGCTTTTGGGATGCAGCAATGGAAAAACTGATGAAGGAAGTCCATGGCCATAGTAGAATAAAAGAGTCAAGTTTTCGTAAGCATGTTTGAGCAGCTGTCAATCAAGGCAAGTAAATATCGTATGCCTAAGGCTAGGTGCTGGGCAACTCCTCAGCGCTGGCTACTCACACTAGATATGATTTCGTTCCGAGCTGCCCTTTGGAATCCATTCAATCTGGACAAGGTTGAACTACCATCCTTGGAAAATAACTTGCCCCAAAACTGCGAGTGTTTGCTCTCATGTGAACCAGTTTCTCCCGGCTGTGTGGTTTTAGTCGTTGATGCTGATGAACCTGTAATCTGGTTTTGCTACGTTGGAGGGAAGAAATGGACCAGACATGAGTATAGCATCATTGTTGAAAAACCATGGCTACCTTTATTTCTGTCTTCGAAAAGGCCATGTGAAGAAGAGCATCGACGTCGCTGTTCTCGTGAAGAAGTGTCATCAGAATTTATATTGGATGGCAACTGCAATGGGAAAAGAACAAGAATATCTAGTGATGCTGGCCATGGCATGATGGCTGCTGATCCTTCTGAAAGGATCCAAATACGAAGTATAGTTGCTGTCGAGAGGAAGTTCTATTTTGATATGTCCCCATCGAAACTTGGAGTTCTTGAGTTCCATCCAGAGCCAACATTTACCACACTAGAATTTGAACGCTTGCCCATTGCAGAGTACTGTTGGGAATCCTCGTCCCCTCACCTGGTTGAATCGCGTGGAAGGCTCTTTCTAGCTGTTCGGGCTCGAGGTCATCATCTTTACAAGATGGATTTCTCGAGACTTGCATGGTCCACGGTGGATGGTCTGTATGACCAGGTATTCTTCTTGGGTAGACTACATTTCACAGCATCATATTCTGCTTGGGAGCTTGGCTTGAAGCAAGGGAACATATATTTCCTAGCGCATGGTGAGGATGGTGTGGTTCAACTGACGAATGCTTTCTTCCCTGGAGACAAATATATGCCCGGCTCCACTTACTGTCCTAGGACCATCGATGATTTGCCGGTTTCATTGCTGGGTATACACAATGTGCTCACTAAAGCTTGTGGTTTTGCCATCGGAAGTAGTTAGAAGTTTCTGGCACTCTTAACTTAACAAACATCCTGCTTTTCTAGGTTTGCCCATCTTAGATCCTATATAGTGCTGTTACCATTTGGTTGAGTTACCAAGAGAAGCAGAACAACATGTCGGTGTTCGATATGTATATAATATATATGCTATTGAAACTTGTTTTTGTTTGTAAAGCACTATGGCTGCATTGGCTTACATGTCTGCTCAAACTTCACAACTATACCGTCCGGTAAACTAAAACAATGCACGATATTAATCCAAGAGAAAAGCTCTCCTGTTAATTGTGATCCACTGTCAGTTTGCTGTATCCAAGAAAGTTCACTTGTTAATTGTGATCCCCTTGAGTAACGTACAAGATAAAAGTTTGTGTTAGTGTCTTAGTGAATATGTGATGGATTCATGTTTTCATCCATCAAGATATACACTACATAAAACTTACAGATGGCACGAGTTAATTCAGTAATTCGGATCAACCCCCTCTCTCATTACTTTGATAAGCCTAAGCCCCCTTTATGTATTGTAAGATTAAATTCAAGTCACATTCCAACCAGCAAGTCTCTAAAAAAACATGCATTATCCAAAACCAAGGACAGTGGGTGCTAACTCTAACAATGGCTCCAATGCGCTTGGAGCAAACTTTCGAGAAAACAAGAAGCACAACGTTGAATTCTTTTCATTGTACAGACAGGTCTGTCCGTCTCGAACTTCCCTCAAGAATTCCTACGTGATGTCACCTCTGCCAAACCTTGCTGGATGTGCAGCAATTCTAGACCAGTCTACCCAAGTAACACTCCTGTTAGCCAGGCTCTGTGAAGTTTCAATCGAGAGCATTGTTTGGATATAGTGCTCATCAGAATAACAACTAGGCCTGCAGAACTCCTTGAATTTGGGGTAATAGACCGTGTCCTTCACAATTTCAATGGCAAGTTCCCTGTTTACTTCAAACCACCGCGATCCTTTGCGCCATTGGTCAAGTTCAACCTCAGGGGTCATATTCCAGTTGTATCTTCCTCGTCCATATGGTCCAGGATCATCAATAGCCATGACAAAGCTTTGGCTCGAGTTCAGGAAGTATTGGTACGTTTACCCCGTTCGCTTCGCTGAAAAAACAAACCGAAACACTGTTCCGGCTGATTTGTTGTGAGAGAAAAACACTGTTCCGGCTGAAAAAACAAGCTGAAAAAGATGGATTATAAGAGAAGCGAACAGGGCTACATGTGTTGAAATCAAATATAGGAATGCATGACTCAGACACAAGCACAAACCATTCGTTGGATATATCCAGCAAAGCGTTGGCAAGTAGACGTCTTTCAGCATCACACATGGTCATCTGACCCCATTCTGCAACCTGTGACCAGTACAAAAATCAAACAGATGTCAGGGTATCTGAATACCAATAGGAAGACAGAGATGACTCTTCTATATGATCAAATAATAGTACGCACAATTTCAATTTAGGCATATGAAGTAGGTTGTCCCAAAAACTCAAATAATATACAGTCAGAGCTCACAGTAAGTAGTAGAATTAAAAGCAGTAATAACTATGAGACTAGCGAGAAACATCTATAGACAGAGGCTACTCAAAATCACAACCTTTCCAAGGCTACTCAAATTATAATTGTATATAGTTTGTGATTCAGTATGTGTATCAGTGTATGTTGTCATCTTTGATTAGTTTCAGCTTCAAAACACGTTTCGACTCTTTGGGCTTTTGAAAGTTACAAAACTATATGCTCAGAAGGAAATGTGAAATGGATATGTCCTAAAAGTAAGTATAGCAAGATGAGATGCAGTGATGTGAATTAGGTTGAAATCACGTATCTGTCAAAGGTAAGTAATGTTACTAACGCCTATAGATATAAACCACACAATATTTGCCCTGTGGAAATCTGGGAACAGATTCATAAAGAACTGGGTCAAGAACTTCAGTTGTCAAGGAAATTTGTGGAAACTAGATCAACGTCCACCAATAATAATCTAACCAAATTGAAGGATGGAACCGTTACGCTCCCCTGCTCCTGCTCTGCCCCCGCCCCCGCACGCCGCTCCCGAGCCTAGATCCACCGCCGCCGGCCGCGGCCCCCAGTCGTCGAGTGCTACAGCGCGTTCCCCACCCCGCGGACATCCTCCTCATCCCACTCGCCCAGCTAGTAGTGCCCCACAGCCACAGATCGAGCCCGTTTCCCGATCTGCAAGCCCGGCGCGCCCGACGCCCTGTGCGTCGCCTCCCCGTCGCCCAGTCCCCAAATCTGTTGTCGTGGGACCGGAAATCCGGCTCGGCGCGCCCGCTGCTGCTTCCGGCGCGTCGGACAAGGCAGGGGCCAGGTCTGGTAAGTGTGTGAAGTTCGCCTCACCCCTCTGCAACCATTCTGAGAGATGTTACTACTCCAACGGCACTTTGTCCACGAAATCTTGCCTCAGATCTGCAGCAGTGAAGCATGCCTCTGGTGCTCCAACCGCTGAGCATTCAACTCATCCCCTCAAGGCTGCAGCGCCCTGCATTGATGGTGGTTTTCCTTCCCGAGGGGGGTGGCTTAGGGCAGTCGCCGGGGCGAGCCAGCAGGCCGATGGGGCGCATTCACGCGCGCAACTCGCGTCAGAAGAAGAAGGTGGTTGGTCCATGGTGCGCCCGAGGCGCTGGTGGCGTCTCCCTGAGTTCAAAGACACGCTGCATTCAACTCCCTCAACCACCAAGGTCAAATCGGCGCATTACCACCACAACGATGAGCTTCTGAGGCGCATGAGAGGTAAATGCTTCAGATGTCTCTCCCCTGGCCACGTTGCGACGGACTGCAGGGACCCGGTGCGATGCTTCTCTTGTGGCCGCTGGGGGCATAAAAGCAGAGTGTGCAAGGGCAGAGCTTCATCCTCCCAGTAACAAGCTCCCCAACCCACGGCTGCTCCTCCACCAATCGACGACAGCAACTTCCCCCCTCTGGGAAGGACCGCGATGGCTAGGCCCGGGGACCCCTCTGTCCGCCCTCTGGACACCTGTGCTGTAGCCTTCTCCATTGATGACATGGACCACGAGCTCGACCGCCTCTCCATGCATGGCATGGTGGCCTGGTTGGGGGGGGGGAACAGGCCGGTGGTGGAGCCAGAGGTCATCAAGAGGGCCATCTGCCACCATTTTCCGGTTCGCCCGGAGGATGTCACCGTCGTCAAGCACTTCCCCGAGGACTTCTTCATCGACTTCAAGCACCGTCACCACCGTGACGAGGCTGTGGCCTAGGGGAGTTTCCCCTATCGCAATCTCGACATCCACACAAGGCCGTGGCAGCTGGTCACACACGGCGACATCTGCGACCTCAAGTACCGCGTTCGTCTGTGCCTGGAGGGCATCCCACTTCACACCTGGAACGAGAACATTGCCAAGAGGGCAATCGCCAGAGCTTGCGACCTTGACTACGTCGAGAAGTCTTCGCTGGACCGAGAGGACACCAGGGCTCTCTCTGTCTGGGCATGGACGCACAACCCGTCGGACATCCCAAAGGTAACCTGGCTAACCTTGTCATGTAGGAAAGCAGAGTTTCACAGTACACCAGCTGCTCGCGGCCGCCGGGGCCTCACCTTCAGGGTGCTGGTGCACCTTGACCTGGTGGAGGACCCACCGGGAAGGGATGGACGTGCTGCTGCTCCCCGCGACTACACGTGGCATTACGGTGTTGTTGATGGGGAGAGGACGCTGTGTGACCGCCACGACCCTCCGCCTGCTGGCGTCCGCGGCAGCCGTCGTGACGACGACGACGACCGTCGTGGGCGCCGCGAACGTCAGGGCGACAACTGGTACTCGCGCCTCCCCACAAGCCTGTCGCCTGCTTTTTTCCTCCCTCCATATATTCTGCTTAAACAGGGGTCCTTTGCTTGTTTTTATGGCACAGCTAAATTGCCAAATTCTTAACTGGAACGTCAGGGGCATGAATGATGGCGCCCGGCAAGACTCGGTGAGCGAGTTAGTGAGAAGCACTGGTGCCACCATTGTATGTCTACAAGAAATAAAGATGCAAGTTATGGATCATAATGTGGTGAGCCGCACAGCAGGAGCAAAATTTGTTAACTCCTATATTGTGCTCCCGGCAGAACAGACTCGAGGAGGCATTCTCCTTGCCGTGAATGAAGACTTCTTCGACCTCTCCGACGTTGAACTTACCACGAACGCAATAACCGCGCAAATCACCATGAGGGCGGATGGAATAAAGTGGCAAATTACAGTTGTATACGGCCCGCAAGGAGATGCAGCCAAACTTCAATTCCTCCAAGAATTGAAGAAAATTCCTCCGCCGGAACACAACAGATGGCTCATCCTGGGCGATTTCAATCTCATCTACTAGGCAGAAGACAAGAACAACTCCAATCTAAACCGGCGGCTCATGGGGGAATTTAGGGCGACGATCGATCACTTGCGGCTCAAAGAAATCAAGCTAAATGGACGCCGCTTCACTTGGAGCAATCAATAGGACAACCCGACGCTCACCAGAATTGATAGACTACTATGTACCCCAGAGTGGGAACTGATCTTCCCCGCTTGCTTCTTGCATTCCCTGCCATCGCTCATGTCGGACCATACCCCGCTACTCCTGCAGGGAGAGCTTGACCACCATCAGAACACATCCTTCCGCTTCGAAAATTTCTGGACTAAGATGGAAGGCTTCCGAGATCTTGTCCAAAACATTTGGAATAGGCCGGTCGCCTCTGCTCTTCCTATGAAACGCTTGCATACCAAAATGGCGCGTGTGGCAAAAGGAATCAAGCGATGGAAAAAGGAAAAAATAGGAGACACAAAAATGCAGCTCGCCATAGTGAAGGAAGTATTGTTACAATTAGAAGCAGCCCAAGAGCATAGGTTGCTCACTGACTTGGAGCTTGACCTATGCCGGCGCCTCAAAGCCCGTAGCACGGGGCTCGCAGCCATTGAAAAATCAAGAATCAAACAGAGATCGAGGCTCACATACATGCGTTGTGGAGATGCTAACACCAAATTTTTCCACATTAGAGCTAATGCACGTCGGAGAAAGAATTACATACATTGTCTGCATACGGATGGGGGGATTGCGGTTGCTCATGAAGAAAAAGAAAAAGTGATAGGAGATTATTTTAAAAATCACATTGGCTCTGCAGTTCCGAGAACCACGACAATCAATTGCCAATCTCTTGGCTACACTCAACATGATCTCTCCGACATGGAGGTGCCTTTCTCCCATGATGAGGTAAAAAATACTATAAATTTCATGCCTTCCGACAAAGCGCCAGGCCCGGATGGCTTCACGGGTGCCTTCTTCAAAGCTTGTTGGGAAATCATTAAAGAGGATGTTATGGCAGCCATAAACACCCTATTCACAATGAACGCCCAGGGTTTTGAATGGCTAAACTCGGTATGCATCATCCTTCTACCCAAAAAAACGGATGCAACGAGAGTTACCGATTTTAGACCCATCAGCCTCATCCATAGCATTGCAAAGATCTTCTCCAAATTGTTAGCTAACAGACTTGCCCCTTGACTGAACTCCCTCGTCTCCAATTGCCAAAGCGCATTTATAAAAAAGAGAAACATCCATGATAATTTTCTTTACGTTCAGGGAGCAGTACGAAAGCTACACAGGCAGAAGATACCGGCTTTGTTCATGAAACTAGACATCCACAAAGCTTTTGACACGGTAAATTAGGGGTACTTGCTAGAGATTCTGTAGGCTCTGGGCTTCGGACCACGCTGACGTGAATGGATCTCTGTTCTACTCCGTACATCCACCTTGACAGCCTTGCTTAATGGGTGGCAAGGACCCACTTTTAGCCATGCCAGAGGCGTCCGGCAGGGAGATCCGCTTTCACCCATGCTCTTCAATCTAGCTATGGACCCGCTTCAACGATTGCTTAACCAAGCAACCCAACATGGGATACTCACCCCCTTACCCATCACGGCGGCAAAATGGAGAACCTCTATGTATGCAGACGATGCGGCTATTTTCATCAATCCAATAAAAGACGATGTAGAAGCTGTCAAAATCATTCTCCAAGCATTCGGCACATTCTCGGGACTCCATATTAATCTAGAAAAGAGCTCTGTGCATCCAATCAGTTGTGGAAATGTCGATCTAGACCAAGTCCTATCACCCTTCACCGGTAGTAGAGGTGACTTCCCATGCAAATATTTGGGGCTACAACTCCACATTAGATCACTACAAAAGGTCCATGTGCAATCTCCCATTGAGCGTATTGTACAAAGGTTACCCAAATGGAAAGGAAGATGGCTAAACAAAGCGGGACGCCTCACTTTAGTAACTTCAGTCCTCTCCTCCATGCCAACCTACCACCTCACAGTGTTTCCCTTGACGGCATGGGCTAAGAAAAAGATTGACAAAATCAGGAGATCTTTCTTGTGAAAGGGGGACGAGAATGCCAATGGTGGACACTGCCTGGTAAACTGGCCAACAGTTACCAGACCAAAAGACCTTGGTGGTTTAGGCGTGCCTGACCTTGATAGATTTGGGAGAGCCCTCCGGTTGCGCTGGCTTTGGCAAGAATGGGTGGACGACTCCAAGCCTTGGATCGGCTCAGAGCTTCCATGTACTGATGTTGATCGTCTCCTCTTCAACTCATCAATCATTATAACTTTGGGGGATGATGCAAAGACTCAGTTTTGGCACCATAATTGGCTGGAAGGAGAAGCTCCAAGGTACCTAGCCCCGAATTTGTTTTGGCTTGTTTCAAGGAGAAACTGAACGGTGCAACAAGAGCTCCGGAACAACAATTGGATGCGCTCGCTAAGAAGGAAAATCACCTCGGCTGTCCACATAGAGGAATTTGTGTCCCTTTGGATACGAATTCAGGACGTGCACCTGCAACAGGACGTTCAGGACTCCATCATCTGGCAATGGACCCAGGATGGGACTTACTCCACCCGCTCGGCTTACAGAATTCATTCAAATGCTCGCTCGTCCTGTTCCGTACTGAACTCATTTGGAAAACACAAGTGGAGAACAGATGCAAGATCTTCGCCTGGATTTTAGTGCAAGATAAAATTCTTACGGCGCACAAACTACAAAAGAGAGGGTGGCCACACCAACAACACTGCGTGCTGTGCAACGGTCCCTTAGAAACCGGCCTCCACTTATGTCTATGTTGCCCTTTTGCTAAGGCGGTTTGGGATCAAATCCTCTCTTGGGAAAACTTCACTCAGCTGCAACAACAACCTCAGGCAGACCCCATCCATATCAGGGCATGGTGGGAAGAGGCGGCAAGGAAAGTGCCAAAATCTGAACATAGACGACTAAACGGGGTAGTAATCTACACCTTTTGGAATATTTGGAAAGAGAGAAATAGGAGAATTTTCAACAACGAGATAGAAACGGTGCCGCAAGTAGCCGCAAGGATAAAGGAAGATATAGAGCAAAGGAAGAGAGCACTCGCTTATGATTAGCTGTTGTTTCCTCTTGGGGTGTGTTTCCCTCCTATACCTGCTTCGGGGGGCTTTAAACCCTCATCTGGAGTATCTTTGCTTGTATATAAACTCTCTTTCTCTATTTTAATTGAAAGGCAGAGCTCCTGCCATTGCGTTCAAAAAAAAAAATCTAACCAAGGCACCAAGCAACCATTTTTTATGATAACCCCTGGCACGCTGCAGTATACAAATGGAGCTCTAGAAAGGGGAAAGGGCACAGAGGGAGGTACTGAAAGATGCTACCTCCAACTAACCTTATTTGCAGTAGCCTGTTGCTAGAAGCGGTGGCACCACAGATCAAAGTCTAGGGCTACAGCACAAAGAATGGCAGGAGCATCTACTTTTTACTCTCAAAACCTTCTGTTGGTCTGGGCTGCCAAGATGCACCAGATGATCAAGATCAGGATATCTGGCCGGAGTTCCAACGGCATGGTCTAAGCTTTCTAGATGATGCACCTAGGTGAGCCGTGAGCCCAAACACATCTGCCAACTAGGCACCTGAAGAAGAGATGATGTGAGGCCTTGGCAACAGACATACACAGGCAGGCTGCAGGATCGACACTTTTATAGTGGAAGAGGTTTTCGTTCTTTTTTTTTATAGTGGAAGAGGTTGTCTCTTGTCACAAGTATAGAAAACATCGAAGGCTGTGAACAAAACTAAGCTGCAAAATCCTGATCCCCAAACAGTATTCATCAATGGTAAGCCCACAAGGATGAATTACATCTCTCCATGGGAATGAACCTGGGTGCATTACTTTCAGCTTCCGCACTAAGTACCACCAATTCAGTACAATGATGCATTATTTTTTCAGAAACAAGATTACTCAAGTTCATAGAAAGCACATTAAGTAGTTTCAGTACATCACCGCGATACAGTGATACTACTACTACTGCACAAATGCTAATTTGGAATCCATCGAAAAGTACAGTTAAGCTCGATGTACAATCATGGCACCAAAATTGGATGTGGGGTTTGTTTCTGCTGTTAATCCATCCAGATCAAGCTAGAGAGAGGTGGCTAACCTTACTGGGGATTTGGCGTCGATAGAAGACGGATTCGGAGGTGAAGTTGGCCCGGTATGACGGCAGCGCGTGGACGTAGATGGAGTACAGGCCCTCGTTCCCCCGAAAGAAGCGCTCCCAGAGTGGCGCCAGCGGCAGCGGGCCGCGCGTGAGGAACATGAAGGCCACCTTGGGCACGCGGCGGAACGGGTACCGCCGCACCCCCGGGGTGAACGACGCGCGCCAGAGCAGCTCCTCGTCCGTCATCGAGTGCTCCAGCCCCTCCGCCGCCGCCGCCGCCGCTGCGACGGCGGCGTCGGCGGCTGGGGAGACCCCCAGCCACGGCCGGAACAGCGTGGCCGCCGCCACCTCGTGCCCGTGCCGCGGACAGCCCCAAGCCGAGCAGCAGGAACACCTTGAGCATCCCCCACGGGAACACCCTGAGCTGGTGCTGCCCCTGCCTCGCCTCCTTCACGTCGTTCTCCATGGAGTCCGCACCTGCAGCGCGGCGGCTCGGAGTTAGGATTTGTTTAAGCACCGTGGAATGGCAATGGCATGTCGTCGGCGCGGCGCCGGAATGCCGGATCGGGGCCTCAGTGGGGCGCACGCGCACCGCATCGTGGGTGGCCCCGCTGCTTGCCGGCCGGCTTTTGTCCATCAACGGAGATGGTCCGGTTACATTACATGGACTCGGTCTATGAAAGCCATGAAGGGACGGTGTGCATGGACCGGCTTCGTTGAGCTCTGCTGTGGGAGCGGCGGCGAAGGTTTCAGGTTAGGTGAAGTAGACAGCAGTCATTAGTCAAGAAGAGATGAGACCTCTGTGGCTCTGACCTCAGAGGGTCAGACTGAGAGACTAGTAGATGATTGCTGGCTTAACTATTTCAGGTTGCGCAAAGTAGACAGCAGTCAAGCATATTTGATTATTTGTTCTATTTAGAGGAGATCCATGGGACCATGACATGAATAATTCACATGTTGTGGCCTTTGGGCCAATGGTTTTATATGATGAGCCCTTTTTCTTCGAGAGCTTTATTCCTTTTTTCTATTCCCTCCGTTTGTTTTACATGTTGTATTAGCTTTGCCCTAAATTAAATATTTGTATCTTTGGCCATCGATTTTTTTTAAAAAAAAATTATAGATCCGTGGCACAAGATCTATATTTTTAGATTCACTATGATATTACGTTCATAATATATAATTTATATGTTGTAAAATTATAAGGATTTTTTTTGAAATAGGTGGTCAAAGATAATGATGTTTGACTTATGACAAAGTTAATGTAAAAACAAACGGAGAGAGTACTGATTAGTAATCTTTAAAATTATTACAATCTTAGAGCTCATGGATAATACAAGAACATGATTATTTAGCCACACGATACAAGAACATGGATAATCTACCTCTTATATATCTGATTTAACCATCCGGTTGTTATATGGAGACCCCCCAGGAACATTGAACTTTGTTTTCTATCGTATTGTTATTGTCATGGTATGGTATATCCGATTACTCAAATTATGAAATTATTTTTCATCTAAAATCAAACGAAATTCAATGTGATTACTCCCAAACTATGTGAATTTTCTTATCAATTGGTGGTCAAATTTATAGAAGTATGACTAATACATATCCTATAGTCATTTATATTCTGGGCCAGATAGTTTTTTCAATAAATACCATAGTTTTTATGAACGAAATTCAATGAATACCATAGTTGATAGTATTACACAAAGGCCTTTCATTGTTTCATGTATATAAATAGCGGGCAGCAAACTTGATTGGTACAACTGTACCTGATTAGTCCAGCGTGTTGAAAAGGTAACGACATGGTTAGAGAAGGATGGTTTAACAACCTTAACAACTGCCAACTGTGCACACCCAACATTCTGATCACATACATATTCACATGTTCATCAACATCAATTGCCCATTTCCTAAGATGTGCAAACAAAAGTAGTGAAATAGCCAGGCGTCATCAAACCATGTAATCTCTGCTTGTCTCGTATACGTCTAGTTCCATTGTAGCAACACTTGTTGCAACAAACACTGATGGGAAACAAAAAGCAAGAGATCAGCCATTGTTCGCTGGTCTGGTTCCAGCGAACCAGCCGGCTGGTTCTTCTCTGGAGATTCAGTTTCAGCCGCTACAGTGTTTTTCTCTCACAACAAACCAGCCGGAACAGTGTTTTTCAGCCAAGTTTCAGACCAGCGAACGGGGCCATATAGTCCAGGCCCAAGGCGGAATCCACAGAGCGGCACCGAAGGAGTCTTCCAAGCCATAACTGTGGGAACATCAATTTTCTGAAGATTTGAACCATAAGCTTCCCATGAACCAAGAAAATACAGGGCCATATGATCCGTTGTAGCTTCACCATACAAACTATTAAAACAATACAAGTCCGTGTAAAATACATGCTGTAATACAGTATATATACCGTGTAAAATGATTACGTGGAGTGGAGGTGGGCAGCAATGGTCATGGCTGCGTCAGTTCGTCCACCGAAATATCTCCACATATGCAATGATCCACAGTGACCTAATAAAGAAACTACAGGAGCAGGATGAACTGATCAAAACAAAACGACATTTAACCAAAACCAAGCACAGTGGGTGCTAACTCTAACAATGGCTGCAATGCACTCGGAGCAAACTTCCGAGCAAACAAGTAGCACAACGTCGTGTTCTGACCATTGTATAGACAGGTCTCCCCCTCTCGAACCCCCTTCAAGAACTCCTCCGTGATGTCACCCCTGCCAAACGTGGCTGGATGCGCCGAGTTTGGACCCCCTCTCGACCAATCCACCCAGGTGGCGGTCCTGTTGGCCAGTTTATGCGGAGCTTCGATCTTGAGCATCGTCTGGATGTAGTGCTCATCGGCATAGCATCCAGGCCTGCAGAACTGCTTGAATTTTGGGTAATACACCGTGTCCTCGACGATCGCGACGGCGAGGTCTCTGTCAGCTTCGAACCACTGCCAGCCTTTGCGCCATTGTTCGAGCTCGACCTCAGGCGCCATGTTCAGGTTGTACCGGCCTCTCCCGTCTCTTCCAGGATCATCGATCGACATGACGAAGCTATGGCTTGAATTCTGGAAATACTCGTAGGTCGTGTTGAAATCAAATAGAGGAATGCATGACTCGGACACTAGCACAAACCACTCGTTGGATATGTCCAGTAGAGCGTTGGCAAGCAGACGTCTCTCAGCATCACACATAGTCATCTGGCCCCATTGCACAGCCTGTAATCAGCACAGATTTCAAACTAATATGCCATCAGCAGGTTATGGGTACCTCAATACATGAGAGAAGCTACAGAGATGACTTCTCCAGTATATCAAATAACACCACCCACAGCAATATATAGGTAACATCAAAGTAATGCAATTTTTTAGATAAAGGTTACCCCATAAACATTGTAATATCAAAAGTACTACAATAACAGTCAGTGAATAAATATGAAACATCTATAGACAGAACTTTTAACAGAGTTATTAGTCTAGATATGTTCTTCCAGGTCTTAACCCCTGCGCCACAGGAATGGTTGATTTTCTCGAAAATCAAAACAGCAACCATCTCTGGGACTGACTTGCATTACTTACGTCTTGTTTATATTTGTATAAGTACTAGCCTAGTAATGTAGCATCACAATGATGAGTACTTTAATTTATATACTTTCCTAATTGGAATTTGGAAATACTCCTTTGAATCCATCTTTAAAAGTGACAGAACAAATAGGTATTCAGCACCGACTTGACAGATCACGTGCGAAGCAGTAGTTGAGTACAGCTAGATTGGAGTTTGTTTTCGTAAAGGTGACAGAACAAATAGGAATTCCTGGCGCTAGATTGGAGTTTGTTTTCGTGAGACAGAGGCCAGATGGCGAAGAGAGGGGATCGGAGGCGACGAGCTAACCTTACTAGGGATTTGGCGACGGTAGAAGACGGAGTCGGCGGTGAAGTTGGCGCGGTATAGAGGCATCGTGTGGACGTAGATGGAGTAGCGGCCCTCGTTCCCCCGGAAGAAGCGCTCCCAGAGCGGCGCCAGCGGCAGCGGGCCGTGCGTGAGGAACATGAACGCCACCTTGGGCACGCGCCGGAACGGGTACCCGCTCCGGCCACGCATCCGCGGCGCGTACGACGTGAGCCAGAGCAGCTCCTCGTCCGTCATCGCGTGCTGCGCGCGAGCCGGGGGGCGGGTCCACCGCTCCAGCCCCTCCTCCAGCTCCGGCTCCGCAGCCGCCGCCCCGAGGCACGGCCGGAACAGCGCGGGCGCGGCCGCCGCCACCTCCCCCGCGTGCCGCGCCAGGAACACGCCGAACGCGGACAGCCCCACCACCACGCCGAGCAGCATGAGCCCCAGGAACAGCTTGAGCATCCCCGCCGGGAACACCCGGCGCTGCTCCTGCGCCGCGGGCAGGATGGCGGCCTGCTTCGCCTCCTCCACGGATTCCACCCGCATCGCCATCGCCATCGCGGTTGTTCCCGGCTAGGATTTTCTTTCGACGCCGTGGAAGGAATGGAATTCATTCCCCGTATTTGGGCGCGACCGTCGCACTGTCTCCGCACGACGCGGATCAGGGGCGCACCGCATCGTGTGTGGCACTGGCACGCGCTCCAGTTCTGGCCCTTCTCGGGGTCGGGGTCGGGGCCGGGGTCGCGGCGGCGCGCGCGTTTGGGCTGGCGCGAACTCCGATGCGGCCATGCGGGTGGTGGTGGGATTTGTGTGGGTGGCGCCTCGAGAGTTGGTATGAGGCTTGCCTTGCGTGCATGCTCAGATGCTCTTCTCGTCAACGGGGGAGGTGACTCGTGACTCGTGAGGCAGGTGTTATGTTGGGCGAGGCTTCGGGCCGTACGCCTGCGTGTGGACCGGCCTCGTTGAGTTTGACCTCGCTCCAATTCAAACAAGAATATGAATGGATAGACCATATTCATGCAAAATTTGAGGATGAACATAAATTTCTACAAGGAGAAAATGATGATATAATTGGATCGGGTGCATTGTTTACCTCGATTTGCAACCCGAATCAACTGGATCCTGATTTTTCTCTTTTTTTTGTTTCTCCTTGCAGAAATTTTTATTCATCCTAAATTTTTGCATGAAGATGGATTTTCATCATCTATCCATTTATATTTTTGGTTGAATTTTTCAAGCATCTTTTGATGATCTTTTTTTTTTTGAATGGGAGCACAGGATATGGGTTCTCGATACATACCTTGCAACAGAGCCTTTCTTCATTCGCCACCGCCAGGTATGACTGAACATCTAAAGAGAAGGCACCTCCTGCTAATTCATTCCTCCGATTGTCTCTCGTTAACTGATGGGAGTGTGGACCTTCTTATTGGATTCCTGCTAATTCATTCCTCTGATTCTTTCCCGCTAACTGATGGAAGGATTAAGAAGCAATGGACCTTCTGATTGGACTCAACAGTTTCTCTTGGGGCTAAACCATTGGACACAGTGTACAGAAGTCCTAACGAAAGAAGGATTCAACAGTTTCTCTTGGGGCTAAAGCAACTGGACA